TGCAGAGCCCTTTATTCTCCTCCCTGCCCTTGGGACCCTCAAGCAGGTTGTGCACAGCACAGTTGAGGGGGTCAGTGGAAGCTGAAACCCAGTCCACGCTCCACTCGCCAAGTGCAGGGCTTGAGTCCTAGCGCAGGGGCATGTGTTGGAGCAAACACTTTTCCCACTTGCCAAAGGTCCCTACAGGCTGGCAGTGGCCTGTTTTGCCAAAGGAAGCACCAGCCCATGACCTGCAAATTGGGGGCCTTGCAGCTCACCCCCCAAGTCAATTCTACATTTCCTACTTTCCAGGATTGTTGAGGCTGCCCCCGCAACCCAACACCCCCCACCCCTCCATTGGATTCAATGAACATAGTTACTATTCGATTCTATTCTGAGTTCTTTTCATAGACTTTCCATCTGGCAAGGCCATGACTTGTAAAGATATTTCCTTAACACCAGATAGGATCCTCACACCTCCTTTGGTACTGTCTGACTCAGTGTGACACACTGCCATGGCATTTGAGTGACACTGCTCTTCCTTTTTCTTTATTTAACAAACAGCCCTTCCTATGTGCCAGGTGCTGTTCTAACACTTTCCAAATATTAATATATTGAATCCTCCAATCTAAGATATAGGTACTATTATTATCGCATCTCACAGACAAGGAAACTGAAGCTCAGAGAATATAAGTGACCTGTGTGGGAGCACATGGCTACAAGTGACAGGTCTGGGATTCAAAATTGGGCCGACTGGCACCAGAGCCTGTGCTTGTGACCACATGCTTTGCTCACTCTTAACTTTCTTCCTGTCATTCTTTTCCTGCCTCTTTGCCACTTGCTTCCCTCCTTCTCTTTCCCTTCCTTCCCCTTTCCTCTCCTCTTTCCTCCATTCTCTGCTTCCTTCCTGACCGACCCAAGCAGCTGCCACCTGCTTCCTCTGGACACTGCCCAGCCTCGCACACCCTCCGCCCATCCTCCAGACAAGCCTCTGGCCTCCACAGTCCCTCACTGGTCCTGCCAGGCCTCCCGTCATCACCCTGGTTTCCCTGTGCCAGCGGACGGGACGTGCCAACCCCAATCCCCTCCATCCGCAGGCTCAGGACCATGCAGCAGCTGTCAGAGGCCTGGGAACTGGGGTTGGGCCAGCTTGCAGTGCAGCTGGCTCTTCAGGAAGTTACATTGTGTGCTGCACCCTTTCCTGCTCAGGGATCTTCATGTGGTGCTAAGACATCTCGTGCTGCTCGGGACAATGTTAGACAATAAGGGGCTAAGAGAAAGAGAGGGGGGCTGGATGGTTAGCTCAGGTGGCTCAGTTGGAGAAAGAGTGAAACAGAGGGAGGGACAGAGAGACAGGGAGAGGTAGAGAACTCCAAGGTGGGAGACAAGAGTGCAGAGATCCAGCTGTCAGAGACTCTGCACTAGAAGTGGCTTCCTACCCTTTTGGGAACAAGGGGTGTGTGCCTCTGTGTGTGAATGGAGTTCCCTAAGTTTCTGAAAGGATTCGTGTTCTTCCCCATAACCATACCTGTGCATATGCTGTTCCCCCAGCCTGGAAGGCCCTTCCTGCTCGTTCCCATGAGAGGACTGTGCTGATGTGTTGCCCCCACTGGGAAACCTTCCCTAAATTCCCACAGGGGATCCATCAGCCTCTCCTTTGATACCAGGGCATCTCCACACATGTGCACATGTCTTTTTTGAACTAATTGGCTTATGAATGTATGTGTCCTCTGCTAGCTGAGGTTCCCTAAATTCCCACAGGGGATCCATCAGCCTCTCCTTTGATACCAGGGCATCTCCACACACGTGCACATGTCTTTTTTGAACTAATTGGCTTATGAATGTATGTGTCCTCTGCTTGCTGAGTTCTCCTCCAAAACTGAGCCCATCCTGCCTTGTTCTCCTCACAACCCCTCTCTCTGTGCCTGGTACGTGGCTGGTGGCTGGAAGATGCTGAGAGATACAGGGAGTCCTGGAGACCAGGCCTTCATGGAGGCAGGCAGGGTGGTGGTAGTGAAAGCCTCAAGGCTAAATGACTCTCTGTTCAACACTTATCAGCTGTATGACCTTGGGCAAGTCACCTAACCTCTCTGTGCCTCAGCTTTCTATGAAATGGGAATGATATTATCTTACCTTATAGGTTGTGTGAGAATTAAATAATTAAATGAGTTAAGATACGTAAAGCACAAAGAACAGTGCCTGGCATTTGCAAATCAGTCAGTAAATATTAGTCATGATTATTATTATTAAAATGGAAATAGTAATAGAGTTGCCCAAAGAGTGAATAATGAAAGTGCTTTTGAGAAACTGTAAAGCATACAAGAAGGTCTTTGCCACCATCATTCTCAAAAATATCAATAGAACCGCAGTGGCCAGTCCATCATGATTTCCAGAATTGACTCACAACCTGCAGTCTGCATTGCCACTGCTTTTTTTAGCAAATGAAATGGTGAATGTAACATTGGTTTTTGTAAATAATAAAATGACAGGCAAAATCATGACGGCTCAATAAAATGTTCATTCCCTGACCCCAAACATAGTCCTGCCTCAAGCTTGGATCATCCTAGGACCTATCTGGCCCCAGACATCCAAGAGGCTGTTTTCACTCACAAAGTTATCAGGACCCAAGGCAGAGGCTGGTGACAGAGAGGTGAAGAAGGACCTGTTGCTTTGCTTCTGACAGGTTGGGGAAGTGTCTTACTTGTCTGTGCCAATAAAAAAGGGGAGTCATTGTTTGCTCCTGCCAACCCTGCAAAGTTAAAAAAAATATATATTGGCTAGTAGGTTGAGAAAAAAAGAGCTTGAAAGTCTTTGGAACCCATTTTTTTTTTTTTCTGTGCAGATAGGAAAACTGAAGGGAAAAGAGGGAACCTGTTCAAAGTCACAAAGTAAGGTGTAGCCAGGGCTAGAACTCAGCTCTCTGGACCCCTGGCTCACTGCCGTTTCATCGGCGATTGTCTTCCCAAAACTCAATGCTCTCCAAGCTGGGAGACCCATGTCCCTAAACAGAAGGTGATGGAGGCAAAATGCTGAGCACAGAATCAGTGCTCCTGTCCTGCTGAGGAGGACTTTGGAGGCAGGGAAAGTGAGGAGGGCAGAGCCAGTATCAGGACCCCACAACCCACTCCTCCCCATCACCTCACTTAATCTTCACAACTCTGTGAGGTAGACACTATTATTATCACCCCCATTTTACAGGAGCCAAAGGGGTCAAGTAACATGGCCAGGATGTGAATAGAGGCTCTGACTCCAAAGTCCAGGATCTTCCCCGTCATTCTCTGCAGCTCTGGCTTCTGGAGCCCAGGCCATTGATAAAGCCCACAAAGCAAATAGGTCTCCAGGACTGGATACCTTGTGGTACCCAGCACAGGGCAGGACACGGAGTAGGTGCTGTCTGATCACTGAAGGTACTGACTTCAGAAAATGCCAGATTTCCCACAGATTTGTCTATGTTGTGCACCCCTCGGATACTCATTCCAAGTCCTCACTCTCAAGTGGTTCTACTCTGGGTCTTTCCACATCCTCCAAGTCTCCTGAATATTCCTTCTATGCCTAGCTCTCAGGAACTTTAATTGACTCGAATTAATTCAGAACTGCAATCGGGGGTGGGTAGGAGACGTTAAAGACGCCTTGGCTTCCTCAATCTTTGAGGCCATTGGTCGAGAGCCAAAATACTGTAGGCCTCAGTTTCCCCATCTGTACAATGGGATGCAATGCAAGCGGCGAGCTGTAACGCGCCGCACGCGTGAACCCCTGACGTCGGAAAGTCGCAAAATCACCGCACCCTTCCTCCTCCCCGCTGCCGCCCCTTTCTTTCTTTCTTTTTTTTTTTTTTTTTTTTCCTTTTTGAGACCGGCCGCACCGTGCTCAGCCAGTGAGCGCTGTGAGCGCACCGGTCATCCCTATATAGGATCCGAACCCGCGGCGGGAGCGCTGCTGCGTTCCCAGCGCCGCACTCTCCCGAGTGGGCCACGGGCTCGGCCCGCCCCGCCCCTTTCTGAAGGTGCCTGCGCAGAAGCAGCCGCCCGCCCGCCCTGTCTTTAGAACTGTCCCTGCCGCCTTCGCTCCCTCGAAGATTCGGCGCTCGACGGGCTCCTATCAGCCTGACTTTCGGCTTCGGCGCCGCCGCAGGCGCGCTTGTCGAGCGCCGAGCAGCCGATGGCGATGGCGGTCGCGGCTGTGTGCGTGACGGTGAGGTCTCGAGCCCGGCCCGAGGTCTGGACAGGCCTGCGTGCCCGCGGGAACCCGGCCGGACGCAGAGGGCCGGGCGCGGCCCCCTCGGGAACGGGCCGGAGGGCCGTGTGGGCGTGGGCCGTGTGTGGCTGTGGTGGCTGTGACGTGGGAGGGGGCGAGGCGGCCGTGGGGCCGTGCGGTCCGCCTGTGCCGCCTGCGTGGTTGTGTTCTGAGTTGGTGCGGAGTTGTTTGTAGCGTTTTGTGCCTGCGCGATGTGTGACGTTGTCGTGTCTGCCGCATGGGGTTGAGTCTCCTGTCGTGTGTGGTCGTGCGGTGTGGGCACAGCGTGTCGCGTTCTGTGGGCTGGGTGCAGCGTGGGGCCGCGGTGAGTGCGGCCGAGGGGCGTGTGGTCCGCGGCTGTGGCGGGTGGCGTTCGTGCTGCATGGCACGTAGATTTTGTTTTTATTTTTTTCCTGGTTATGGTGTGAGGGGCTTGCATATGTGTTCAGTTATGGCTGTGGGGTCCGGTTTGGTGGTTTGTGGTGGATATATGTCCGGTGCTTGTTTGGATACCTGATTTCAGAGTTCATTCATTATTCCTGGAACTTTATTGCATTTCCTCGTTGTGCTCCAGGCGCTGTGCTGGACCCCGGGGATACGGTGATGGGGAAAATAGACGAAGTCTGTGCCCTCGCAGATCTCATGTCCTTTTTTATTTAGTCACTTCACATGTGCACGTGGGATTAAAAATTCAGATAATTATGCTGTGAAAGAGAAGGGCATCCTGATGCGGGGGATGACTTGAGTAAGAGGCGTTTCTAATCTCATGTCCTTTTTTATTTAGTCACTTCACATGTGCACGTGGGATTAAAAATTCAGATAAGTGCTGTGAAAGAGAAGGGCATCCTGATGCGGGGGATGACTTGAGTAAGAGGCGTTTCTTTGAGGAAGTGAGGTTGGGCCTGAGATGTGAAGGGTATGTGTGTGGCAGGGGCGGTGTGGCATTTGTGTTTGGTTTGTGCTTGTTAGAGTTAAGTGTGTAGGAAGGAAGGGGGCTATCAGATTTAGGGCATGACATGAACCACTGGCTGGGGAGGGAACAAATCAGACCTGGAGCTGCTGTGTCAGTGACCACTTGGAAAAAGGGCTGGGATCTGCATGTGTGTAGTCATTGGGTTTCTTAACTGGAGTGAAAAAACAGGGACCCGGCATGTCATTTTTCTATTTTCTGAGTTGCCGCCACCCGTCAGCTTTGAGGGCTAGGCAGTCCCTCCTCAGTGGCCCTTCACAGGCCGTCCAAAGCTGAGAGTCACACATTCCCCCTCACTCTATACTATGGTTTGTGGCTCCAGGTTCTTGGGGAGAAATTTCTGTGCTTTTGTGGAATAGTTTTGTCTGGATTGTTCATATGGCTGAGAGTCTTCCTGAGGTGACATTAGAAGTGACTTTCCTGTGGCCCAATAAGACAGAAAATGTAACTTAAACTAAACTCTGAAATGTTTAAGCACCAAGTCCTTTTGTTTTTGAAGCAGTGAGAACGTTAGGTTTGCTGCTAAACTGTCACTTAGAGGTTTATAAAATCTAGTAAGCTCATTGGAGAGAAAGTGCTCTACAAACAAAACAGAATAGATTTTTCTTTTTGACCATTAGGTTTCTAATGTTCCTCCTTAGACTGAAGTTGAGAGTTTTGTTTTGTTTGTTTTTATGGCAGACATTATATATTTTTCATCTTTGCATTTTTAATACAGGTGCCGTACAGGTATGAAGAGCTCACTATATGTAGTTGAGTAAATGATCAAGGTAGAGAGAGTCAAATAAAAACTGCTTGTTGATAAGTACCTCTGACATTTCCCCAGTGGCTAAAATGGAATACAATCTATGAAGTTGGAGCATTTGGAATAAATGTAAGAGAATTGCTTTGGTATTGGGTTTATCTTCAAGAATCTGTGCTTCTTGCTTCATTAAATTGCTATTATCCAGTGATGTTCTCACATCTTAGGTTTTATGCCTTGGTGTAAGGATTTGAGAAACAGTTTATTTTCTCAAACTTCACACTGAACAAACATTAAGTACGCTTGTTGAACTGTCAGAAGAACAAAGAAAATTCTCAGTTGCTGCTAATTTGCCTGAATTGGCTTTTTTCCCTTTTTCTTTCCTTTCTTAGGACTCCTCCTACTCCAAAAAGGAAACCTCATCTAGGGCCATGACACTACTTCCTCATCATCCATGAACTACTTGGTTAAGCTAACGCCGTGGGAGCCCTGGCCCTTCGGGAGGAATCAAGCTCACTCTTGGCATGAGGCTCCTGTCTTCCCGGGGTTGAGAGGGGCACTGCCATGGCTTCTCTGGATGACCCAGGGGAAGTGAGGGAGGGCTTCCTCTGTCCTCTGTGCCTGAAGGACCTGCAGTCTTTCTATCAGCTTCAGTCACATTATGAGGAAGAGCACTCTGGGGAAGATCGTGATGTCAAAGGGCAAATTAAAAGTAAGAGGCGTGGATCTTGCTTATCCTGTTCTGTCAGTGAGAGCTGTAACTCATGGGATAGTTTTCATCAGCGTCCATGTTACCACTGGAATATGGCAGTAATAATAGTAGCAGACAGATATCTAGTGCTTGCCATATGCCGGGCATTATTCAAAGTTTCCCTATGTGTTAATTTCGTTTAATCCTCACAATAGCTGTGTGACTGTGAGCCCCATTTTGCTGATGAGGACACCAGACACAGAGAGACTAGATAACTTGCCTGAAGTCACACAGTGAGGCAGACCCTGGCTTTGAATTAAATAAATATAATCATTATGATCTGCTGTCTCCTGCTAGACTATTTGAATTATCTAACCAGCAGCCCAAGAGAGTTTGGAGAAAAAAGTCCTTTCCTTTGCTATAGAAGTGGAGGCACATGCACCCATTTACCTGTCACAAATTTAAACTTTCCCACCATTCTTGCTTCCACAATTGGACCTTGCCCTCTGCAGACCGAGGAAAGGAAGGTTGTAGTTGAAAAGCAAAGAGAAACAACCCAAAAAGTTAAACCTTGGTTTTTGAGCTTCCAAGGGCTCAGGTCCTGAAGAGTTGCAGAAAGACTTTTTCATAGGCAATTTTGACTTTATATATGTTTATTGTATTTCCTGGACTTCAGATTCTAACCCCCAAATAAGATGCTACTTCTCTGGAACTCACTTTTCCTAGTCATTTAGCTAACTTCTCACAACTAGCATCATTTCTGAAGGCCATGCAGTTAGAAAGGTCTGGATGCTGTATTCACTGTCTTTGTTGGGTGGGAGAGAAAGAATGATCATGTGTTCCTAAGTGGACTTTGGCCATCTAACATGCAAATCACATGTCCTTATAATCAGATATTTGTCCCTAGAGTCCCAATCTGTGCCTCACTTTTCAGTTTGGGAAAAAAAGAGTTGCTAAAAGCATTAGCAGTTACAACTCCATCCAAAAACATGACAAAGTCAAACATTTTCAAAATCCTGAGGGTTGTGATGGACGAGGTGGCTTCTGGCTGTAGAGGCAGCAGAACCATAATATTAGGAGGAAGAAAAAAAAAAAAGTACTGTGCTTTATAGTTTTCAGAGTTTCTTTCCCATACATCATTATTTCATTTGACTCATCTGACAATACTGCAGGAAGGTGGTTGGTCTCATTTTACAGATAATAAGTGAGGCTCAGAGATGCTGAGTAACTTATCAAAGGTCACAAAGGAATTGGCAGAGTTAGACCTGGAGCCCAGGTCTTCTATCACCTTTAAGTCCAGTGCTGCTCTTTCCACATGGCATCACTGATGATGAGGGGCCCTATATTCAATCACAGCATGTATTGCAGCTTCCTGGGGGAAAAAACCCCCCCAAAAAAACAAACCCTAGAAAATGATTATGTAAGTTTCCTTCGGACAACCGAAGAGCCTCCATGGTTTTCAGTGAGCCTCCAGTCTTAGTTTCCACTGAACTGAGTCATATACCATGCTATTCCTAAGACTGGTGATGCCAGTGGGTAGAGAGGTTAGAGAATGTCTTCAGATTCCTGCGATGACCCTTTTTTAAGAGGAAAAATGTTTAAGGTTATTTAGAGAATAATAGATATGGGAAGCTATCCAGGGAATACTAGATACAATAGAAATTTTGCTACTCGTGAAAGAAATAAAAGGATCCTCTTGGTTTTTTCCTTCATTTTTCCCCCCATCTCTACCTCAGAAGAACTAAGAGATTGAGTTAAGCATTCTTTTAGTACCACTAATCATCATTTCTTTAGGAAAGAATTCTTGGTCATGTATTAGTTGTGTTTCAGAATCCGGAAAGTAAGGATTTAAAGAGTGACATCAGAGATTTTTTGAAAAGCGCTTTCAAAAGTAGATCACCTCTCCATTTGGTCTTTTGATTCTTAGAAATTTTATGGTGTTGCTAGTTTTAAGCAAGTAAAAAAGAAAAAAAGCAAACCTTGATAACAGGTTTTGGAGGCAGTTAAAAAAAAAAAAAAAGGTAAACTGTTCATTCCTTAAAGGTGATCAGTGGGTTTGAACCCCAACCCTGGTTCAGCTTCATGTTAGCCCATTTATAGTAAATAGAAGAGAAGGTGGTTGAAAATTAACTGTGGCTTCTGCTTTGTGTTTTTTAAAACGTATGGGATTGTTCTTAATTGTCCCAGTCTGGAATGGCTACACCCACTCTGGGAAGGTTGCCAGGCAGTTTTTCTATGTCTCCTAAAGTGGTTAAATGGCATAGGCTGCCTGCTTAACTTGACAGAGTTTAGTCTTGTTTGCAAAAATGAATTGATGTTTGCTAACTCCAGTTTCCCGTTTGCTAGACGCTTTGTTCGCATCAGGCAATTTCCTGTCCGGTATTGTTAGAAAAGTCTACTTTAATGCATTTTAAAGGGTGTCCTTTAGTCCTGGTATTTTCCAGTTGGAAAAAGCCATCCCAGAGTGACTGATGATCAGGGAATTTGCTTATTGACTCAACTGTCTGACAGACATCTATAACCTTATAAGTTTTACCCCCTGCCTAGTAGCTCTCCATTTACCTAGACTTTTGAAAAGCTTTGGGATTGTTAATGCTATTCAAGTGACAAAGCACTTCAAAGTCATGATAACTCCTCGAAGTATTGATCTATTAAATGTAAAACTAACGATATCATTTTGTATTAAATCTGGTATTTTCTACTAGATTCTAGTGGCAGAAAGGGATAGAAGTCACCCAAGATTTAAGAACACTAATGAGAAAGCAACTTAGAACTGAGGGTTCTTTCTTTTCCCACCAGTTGACTGTTGTTGGTCCTCTCACCTCAGCACATGTGGCAGAACCCCAGTTCTGCAGAGGTGTAGTTTGTGAACCAGTGCTAGCTGGGGAGAGCAGGGCCTCTACTTTCAGATGAGCTGTCCACTTCCAGACCTGCTGCCTATAAGCTCTGTGATTTTAGGTGAAGCACATTTTTACCCCCTCTTTGATGTCATTTTTTCATTTGTAAGTAGGGTTATCTAACAGCTACTTACAAATAAGTAACCTGCCTTATAATACTGTGAGCGAGAACTGTCATAACGTATTTGAAAGGACTTTTTTTTTGTGGCTGGCAGGTAAGGGGATCCAAACGCTTGACCTTGGTGTTATCAACACCATGCTCAAACCAACTTAGCTAACTGGCCAGCTTGGAAGCACTTTTATTGTGTCTAGCACATATAAGGGCTCAATTCAGGACATGTTCATTTTCTTTTCTTATCAACCCCGGTTCCCTTTGTGTATGTTGTTTTATATCTGTTTCTTGAAGCTTTTTGTAAATATTCTCACATATGTATTCAGTAAGTGGGTGGGCAGTAGTATGGAAAGAAGAACTCTATGTCCAGTGAAGCATTATGGGTAACATCGGTCCAGGGATGTTGGTGTGGTGGAATCCTATCCTGGAGGTAAACAAGAAGTATTTACTCATGAGTCCCTAGGGTAAAGAAATTAGTACTGTATAATTTGGTTTTAAAAAAACTTTATTTTCATTGAGGTATAGTTTACACATAAATGTACAATTCAGTAAGTTTTAAAAAATGTATATACTCATGTAACCACCACCCCAATTAATATATAGAAAAAAATACTTCCATCACCCTGGTTTCCTCATCAAATTCAACACTTGGGTTTAATTGGGCCCTTAAATTTGGCAATGAGGAGTAATTTAGCATATATGTTGGTCATGTAAACCAACTTACGACTAGCAAGCATATTGCTTTGTGGTATTTGTAATACAATATTTGTGTGCTTGTTGCTGCATGTTATTTGGTATCAAAATATTTCTCATGCATTTTTAAGTAAAGGATAATTATTTCGTCAACTCTTATTTTTTTGAGATTTCTTTTAGCTTTTTACTGGGTGTTCTTCATGGGTTCACTTGTGTTATTTATGCCACTTTCAAGGTCTTGTCCAGAAGGCTAAGAAAGCAAAGAACAAGTTGTTGAAACGAGAAGGTGATGATCGAGCAGAATCAGGAACCCAAGGATATGAATCTTTCAGCTACGGAGGGGTTGATCCTTACATGTGGGAACCCCAGGAGCTTGGTAAGAAGATCCATTCATTCATTTGGCAAGTGGTTATTGAGCATCTACTATGTTCTATGGAATGTTTCAAGAGTTGGCTGAGGAGGTGTCAGTAATCTGTAATAGTCTAAGCTTCTCATGGACCTTATGCGCTAGTGAGGGAAGAAAATGAGAGAATGAGCTCAGCATCTGCTTTGTGATAGGTACTGCATTAAATGCTTTATACATGTGGTCTCATCAAATCCTCACTATACTCCACAGGAACCTGTCTGGGGTCAAACAGTTGGTAAACTGCAGAAGTGGGCTGTGAATGCAGGTCTGTCTGACATCAGCCCAGGCATAGACTCCACTGATGGGTCTGTCTCCTCTCACATAGGACCTCACTTGCCTAGTGAGAGGCACTGGTTTGTGCAACTTACTTTTCTGAAATACATAATTATGGCACCTTCCTAATTTCAAAATGGTCATCTTTTGGGAGTGATGAAAATGTTCTAAAATGAATTGTGATGGTTGCATGACTCTGTGAATATACTAAAAACAATTGAATTTGTTTGCTTTAAATGGTGGATTGTACTATGTGAGTTATATTTCAATAAAGCTGTTACCAAAAAGATCATGCGATTCACACTGAGTTGGACTATCTAATCTTATATGTCCTTTATTTAACTTTATTTTTTTGTGTTTTTTTCTGCTTCTGTTTCTATTTGGGACAGAGAAGCAGGCATTAAATCCATAAAACAGCTTTAGCCTAGTTATCTGTACTTATCAGGTCTGCACAAATCCTTTCCAGTTATGAAATCTTTGATTTGGTGATACTGAAAAGGTTCTTTTTCTTTCTGGCTTCACTTTTCTAGGAAGTATCCCTCGATTAATTCCACCAATTTTCTAAGTGATCACCACAATAGAAGGACTTCTTCCTGTGCCTCCATCTAATCTGAAAACCTGTTAAAACCAGTAATTGTGCAGATGTATACAGTTGTATAGGTGCAAACAACCAGCATTGTCTTTACCACACTGCTGGTAGGTGGGGCATGATAGTGATCAAAAGTATGCACTGGGGAGGCACAGGGAGGGGAGCCAAGAAGGGCTCTGGGCCCAGGAGGCCTGATCTTACCTATCCTTTACCTGTTGAATGATAACAATCATTAACATAACAGTACATTTTCTGTCCATGAAATGGATAAATAATGGTTCCTTCACAGTGCTTTGTTATTCACGATCTTGTTCACCTTTCACAAAAGCCTTGTGAGGTGGAATGGGTAGTAATGTTCTTTCTCGTTTATAGATAAGGAAACCGAGGTGCTATGAAGGGAAGTGATATTTACCCAGGGTCTTCTGCTGTGTCCTTACAGCCACCATAGAAGGTGTCTCTTTGAATGAGAAATGTCATAGAACTGTACTTTCCAATTCTATAGCCACTAGCCATGTGTGGCAAGTGGCTACCATATTAGACAGTGGAAACATTTTAACCATTGCAGGAGAAAATTGCTTTAAAAATAATACTATACATATGTAATTATGAATTACATATGAAGGCCAATTAAATGAAACATGAAGGAGAAATTTCAGACATATGAATTCTTATTAGCTCTGTGATAGCTTGTTTCATGATTGCCAATGTCAGGTTACCAGGGTGATTTTCTGATTAACTTGCCTGTTTAAACAACTGAAGGAAACCACAAATCATGTAAGGTTAAGTGAATGGCCAACTTTAGAAGTTAACATTTATGGTCACCCCTAAGAAGTCCAAACTAAAATTTAATTAGATGTTAGAGTATGGTTAGGAAAGAAAAGACACATAAATGGTTAAGAGTATAGCATGTGGGCCGGCCTGTGGCTCACTTGAGAGCGTGTGGTGCTGATAACACCAAGGCCACAGGTTTAGATCCCTATATAGGGATGGCTGGTCAGCTCACTTGGGGGAGTGTGGTGCTGACAACACCAAGTCAAGGGTTAAGATCCCCTTACCGGTCATATTTTCTTTAAAAAGAAAAGTATAGCATGTGGAGATGTTGGTCAAAAGATGCAAAATTTCAGTTAGGATGATTAAGTTCAAGAATCTATTACATAAGGGCCAGCCCGTGGCTCACGTGGGAGAGTGCGGGGCTGATAACACCAAGGCCACGGGTTCGGATCCCTATATAGAGATGGCCGGTTAGCTCACTTGGGAGAGTGTGGGGCTGACAACACCAAGTCAAGGGTTAAGATGTGGCTCACTCGGGAGAGTGCGGTGCTGATGGCACCAAGGCCCCGGGTTCGGATCCCACATAGGGATGGCCGGTTCGCTCACTACCTGAGCGTGGTGCTGACAACACCAAGTCAAGGGTTAAGATCCCCTTACCGGTCATCTTTTAAAAAAAAAAAAAAGGGTTAAGATCCCCTTACCGGTCATCTTGTAAAAAAAAGAATCTATTACATAACATGGTGACTATAGTTACTAAAAATGTGTTTCTGAAAATTGCTGAGAGATTTTATGTCCTCACCACAAAAATAAGTATGTGAGGTAATGCATATGTTAATTAGCTTGATTTAGCCATTCCACAATGAATACATATTTCAGAAGATCATGTTGTACATGATAAACATATATAATTTTTATTTGTCAATTAAAAAATAAATTTTAAAAAAAGAGGGTGGCTTATGACAAATTCTGGATATGGCACAGTCTTTAATGAATAGGTGGTCATCGGGAAGAAGTGTACTAAGTGCTGGGAGGGTCGGGGCAGTGCTGGTTTTCAGAAGAGACGAGATTGAGCAGGGGATATTTTGGGTACACTGAGACAGTAGGCTCCTTGGTTCCATTTGTGTTGGGGACGTTTGTTCTGACTGCTGGATTGAGGAAGGTACCAGTTTAATAGCTCCCCCAAGGGCATCTCTTAGCATTTATATCTTTTTGACCATTTTGAGAAGGATTATTTTTATTTTGATGAAAAACTGTATCGTACCAACTTAAGAAAGTACAGGAAAATATAAGAGAATTAAAAAAAAAATCTCCCAGGGGCCGGCCCGGTGGCGCACTGCTACAGTGCACTGCTTGGGAGCGTGGCGGCGCTCCCGCCGAGGGTTTGGATCCCACATACAGACCGGTTCCCGCTCACTGGTTGAGCAAGGTGCGGTGCAACACCGAGGGTTGCGATCCTGTTGCCGGTCCCGGTCTGGTTCGGGTGCGACACTGAGGGTTGCGATCCGTTGCCGGACACGAAAAAAGACAAAAAGGAAAAAAAAAAATCTCCCATAATGTTACCACCCTTTTTATTTAACAAACATGTGCAGTTAGTGTTCTAAGGACTTTATACATTTTAACATTTAATTGTCATAACAACCCTGTGAAGTAGATATTATTGTTATCCTCATTTTATAGATGAGTACTCTGAGTTACAGAGAGGTTAAGTAACTTGTCCAAGGTCACGCAGTGTGTGGCAGAATTAAAACTTGAGCACAGGCTGGCTCCAGAGTCCAGGCTCTTATCTGCTATATCCTGGGGTCTCTCGTGTTGTTGTGCTTTGTGGCCACCAAGGGCTACATACTTAACCTTTTAGGAAATTTCCTTCCAGGTGCTTACCTAGTTTGAATTTTAGTAAGACTGTAAAATCCTAGCATTTTTACTTGCTCTTGAAATTCATTGAGGAGAAGCAACAAGGTAGAGAAGTTCCCTCAGAGAAATTATCAGCCATTTATTTCCCCACCTTCCCTCCTAGGTGCTGTGAGAAGCCATCTTTCCAACTTCAAGAAACACCGGGCTGCCAGAATTGACCACTATGTTGTTGAAGTCAATAAGTTAATAATCAGGTTAGAGAAGGTAAATTTTGTTGTTTTAAAACACTTTTTTCTTGCAAGTTCAAATTTTTTAGGGGGAGAAAACCACATTTTTGTAGCATGTGTTATGTACGTGGTGTGTATCTGATGTTGGCAGAGAAATGCCCCACCTAGAGAAATGCAGAGGACGAGGCAGGCAGTTCTGGCTTGGGATGACTGTCCCAAAGGGTGTGGCCTGGGTTGAAAGACTCGTTACATGCCCAGCTTCCCTTTCCCCACCTGTGAAGCCTACTTGGCTACTGTGATACCTTTCTGCCTTCAGGTTCTTTTGTCTTTTGGATGCCCTAGAAACAGTCACCTCGGGGGGGGCATAGTGTGTGATGTTGTTTGATGGCAGATGGTGACAGGGAGACCAGGTCTGTGAGGAGTACTCAGCCATGGCCAGCGTGCAGTGTGGGAGCATCTTGACTGGCTTTTCTTGTCCTGTGGTAGGAGAGGACAGCTGTGACACCATGGTTGCTGTTGTGCTTGGACCCTATCGATGCTTGTGTATGACCTGGAGTGTGTGACAGGCATGGTAGCAACCACGTGCACAGTTCTTTATGCTGTACTTTGTAGGGCAGAACCATGTGGGTGGTTTTATCATCCAGGAAGATTGGAGAATCGGGAGTTCCCGGTTGCTTTCAGTAGCCACCCCTGCCCCATCCTTGCCCACCCCTGGTTATTGCTGAAATGGGAAACTGACAATAAAGAGATTAGAAGTGGGTCATAAGAAGGGAGGTGCCTTCTAGATGCAGAACTAATACTCTATCCCATGCGAAATTGCTTTTGTTACTCGGGTTAGGGATGACAGATGAGACTTGAGAAAGCAAATTTGCTAATTCCCACTTGATGCGTGAATAGTGAGAAATGTGGAGTGTGTATACATCACCTGGTTAATTCCATCTGACACTGTTTTCTCCTGGTCAGCTCACTGCATTTGATAGAACCAATACTGAATCTGCGAAAATTCGAGGTAACTTTAAAACTATGCTCACATTCCTTCTATTTTTTATCTTTCTCCCTGACCAAATCTCTTTTTAAAATGGTGTGCGTTTTTGTTGGTGTGGTTTTTGTTTTGTTCTTCCCAAAGCAATAGAAAAATCTGTGGTGCCGTGGGTCAACGACCAGGACGTCCCTTTCTGTCCAGACTGTGGGAACAAGTTCAGCATTCGTAACCGCCGCCACCACTGCCGCCTGTGTGGGTCTATCATGTGCAAGAAGTGTACGGAGCTCATCAGCCTGCCCTTGGCAAGTAGGTGACAAGGAGGTGGGCCTGGGACCCTGATCTCCTCTGAAGAGCAGCTTATTTGCTAATCACCACTGTGGTCGTGGGAACTTTTTGTTTCAATTAATGGCCCGTGGGGTCTTCATTCACTTGTTGGTTTAGTGAAGCCCTCTCCCTGCCAGGCACTGTGCTGGGGCCAGGGATACAGTGGTCTGTGACAGGGGTTGGCAAACTTTTTTTGTAAAAGATCAGATAGTAAATATTTTAGGCTTTGTGCACCATATGTGGTCTCTGTGACATTTCTTTCTTTTTTTCTTTTTTTAACAACTTTTTAAAAATGTAAAACTATACTTAGCTTGAGGTCCCTACCAAAACATGCTGCAGGCTGGACTTAGCTTGCAGGTCATCATCTGACTACTTCTGGTCCTATAAGGCATTGCCCCCAAGGAGTCCAGCATCTAGCAGAGATATAGACTCAGCAAATAAGCAATTGCTTTATAAAGAGCTATGCACAATGAGAGTTGTGTCAAGCATGCAGGAGAGGCTGGCCAACTCTGTCAGCTCTGCTTAAAAGTGGCAGGAGAGGTTTTGAGAAGAGCATCTTGAAAAATAAGTAGTGGGCTAATCTCTTCCTTTGGGATAAAAGTCACAAACAACTCACTGTCATACAGAAAAGACTGTACTGTCATAGTGTGAGAGGTACTCAGTGCCACGGAGTCTGGGGAGATGAGAGCATGCATGCTCGGGGTGGGAGGTGGTGTTTGAGAGGAGCCTTGAAAGATGAGTAGGATTGTAGTAGAGATGGGAAGCGGGCATTTTGGGTAGAGTGAAGAGCAGGAGTAAGGGTGTGGTGTTCGGAGAGGCCCTGGGGTAGGTGAGTAGATGAGCAAATAGAACAGTGGGGGAGTGTAGAGGATGTGTTTGAGAATTGTGGGCATGAGGCTACAACAGCCGATAGGACCAGACGCTCTGGGACTTTGCCCCTCAGCTTGTTACACGTTGCTGAAGACCACCTCACTGGCTTCGGGGTGTCAGGGGTGCATTTGCAGCACTGGAGAGCTCTGCTGACTCTGTGCATGCTTTTGGCCATGGGAGTGTCTGGACACCGTCGGGGCAAAAGCAGACGCTTCATCTGCCCAACTCAAACCCAGCAGGCCCAGTTTACTGTGACACTTTCCCTTTCTCCCCAAGATTGACTCCCTCTCACCTGAGACTTCATAAGCTGTGTTTTTGGGACACTATTCACCTTTCTTCTCTTGGGCTCATTAACCAACATTTACTGGCAGCTGCTGTGGGGTGGCCCTGCTGGATATGGTAGGGGTGCAAGACGGAGTGAGGCACAGTTTCTACCCTTGAAGAGCCGCAGATTTCTAGGGCAGCTCTGAGTGTGTGTGTAGCTGTTACACAAGGAGACAGTGAAAGTGCTCCAAGATGGGCGATGTGGGGGGAACTGGTAGGAAGGACATATAGTTTTTGTCTCAGGGAATTGGGGAAGGCTTCCTGGAGGACATGCCATTTGAGCTGAGCTCTGGAAAGGGAGGGAGCCAGATGTTTGCAAATGGGGAAAGGCTGTGGAGGGGAGTCTCACTGTGAGCTTTGGGTTGTGTCTGAGGCCCACAGGGCAAACGGAGGAGGGTGATAGGTGGTAAGGCCAGGTTAGGGATGGGCTGCAAAGCCTCGAAGACAGACGGTTCTAGGCTGTTTGGATCTTGCCTGGATGGCAGTGGGAGTCCTTTCCCACCGGAGTCTGACCCCAGAAAGGCAGAGGGGGAGGTACTTCTTGCCCACAGGTGGAGCCTGATCTTAACACCCCCCAAATCAAACAACTGCAGTTGTGGGTGATGGGATAGCTAGGTGTCATGGGGTCATTGCTGCCTGTCTGTGTTGTGGTTTACAGACAAGCTCACCAGTGCCAGCAAGGATTCCCTGAGCACCCACACCAGCCCCAGCCAGTCACCCAATAGTGTTCATGGCTCCCGCCGGGGCAGCATCAGTAGTGTGAGCAGTGTGAGCTCAGTCCTGGATGAGAAGGATGACGACCGGATCCGTTGTTGTACACACTGCAAGGACACACTGCTCAAGAGAGAGCAGCAGATTGATGAGAAGGACCACACACCTGACATCGTGAAGCTCTATGAGGTGACATGTGGGGTGTGGTCTTGGGTCTGATGCATTGGGCAGATTTGGCTGTTCACTAGGTACATACTTGCAGATTCTGGAGAATGCTCTGGGAAATTGTTCCCTTGAATTGTTTTTAGTTCCTGCTAAAGTGCCATGGTAGGATTTCCCAGCTAGGGCCCTGGGTGAGTCACAGAGTCTTCCTGGGTGTGTTGCAACAAACTCGTCCCTCACCCTTCCTTGCCCATTTGAAAGCAGGAGGGTGGAGGTTTTGGTGGCTGAGGCCCAAAGGGAGGAAGGCTGGTTGCCATGTGGTGTGGACAGGTTCTGTGGGGAGGGCAGCAGCTGGAGTGGTGGTGAACGGTGGGCCAGAAGAGTCCTGGGAAACTCACTTGGGAGTTTCAAACTTTACAAGTTTGAGAAAGTTTTACAGTTTTCAGGCTTTGTGAGTTTACTGCCCATAGGTCGAGAGTATCCTCTTCTAAATTCATTCAAATGCCTCAGCTCTCGTTACCACTGGCGATCCCAGAGCACCTTCAGTTGATCCCACTTTGAGAGGAATAGTGTAGAGCAGAGAACATCTGGGAGTGAGACTGGCTTGGCCTCCTCATGGCCAGAGACCTGCAAGCTGAGGAGGACTAGCTAGGTGAGAGCTGGGTGGGGAGGCGGGAGATGATGGGGGGAGGAAGCAGCTTGTGCAAAAGTCTGAGCAGAGGAAGAGTGTATTTTTGTGTGATGACCACTGAATGGTCACTGTTCGCAGTTCTGCAGGTCATAGTGGCTGTGTTTCTGGAATCACAATGTAAATCTTCAAGCTACTAGAAATGGTGTTAGTTAAATGCTCTGTTGAGCAGCAGATGTGGCCATCCTCAATCCTTTTTTTTTTAAAAGATGACCGGTAAGGGGATCGTAACCCTTGACTTGGTGTTGTCAGCACCATGCTCTCCCAAGTGAGTTAACTGGCCATCCCTATATAGGAATCCGGACCCATGGCCTTGGTGTTATCAGCACCACACTCTCCCAAATGAGCCATGGGCCGGCCCCATCCTAAATCCTTTGAGTGGACTTTGTGACCTATCTCATTTGTGAAAATATCCACCATGCTTTTTGCTTCCATCTGCTTTGAGGTGAACCCTGGCAACGCCGTGTGCTGATATCGTGCTGTTGCCTTGCCTGGCATCACCTGGCAGAGGAAGCATGTAGCAGCTGATTCCTCTTCTCTGTCTTGGTAGACACATTGGCTTGTGCCCTGGAAGGCATTGCTTCTCTCAGAACCATCCAGTCAAAAGCTCCACCCTCACTTTCTTTCCTTCCTGCAAGATTTTGTGTGTGGAAAGTAGGACTATAAATCAGGAAATTGATAACAACAATAAACATTTTAGAAAACATTTTAAATATATCTCTGTTGATGGAGCCTAGCTTCTGGGTAGGCTTTTCCATATCTTGAGAGCATCACTTACCTCTCATTTCTGTACTTAGAAATTACGACTTTGCATGGATAAAGTTGACCAGAAAGCTCCTGAATACATCAAGATGGCAGCATCATTAAAGTAAGCTATTCCTCTATGTTCTTCTAATCCAGTGGTGACTGTTTTTTGGCATTTTAGTTCAATTCTTCAATAGCCTGTTGGGGATTCCTTAGTCAGCTTTCCAGTTGTGCCTCTTCTCCCTGGGTAGTCTTTGAGTGAGAAAAGCTAAGTGGCTTTCTGCTCTAATGGAGTGTAAACAACTCATTTAGCAAACCACTTTATACATCATCTTATTAATTTATTTTATTTATTTCTTTTGGTGGCTGGCTGGTACAGGGATCTAAACCCTTGGCTTTTTTGGGGGGGTTGGGTGGGTGGCTGGCTGCACAGGATCAAACCCTGGACCTTGGTGTTATCAGCACCATACTCTAACCAATGGAACTAACTGGCCAGCCACTTATCATCTTATTAGGTATAGTGAAATTGTGTAGGGAAAGTAGGCCAGAATAAATTCAGTCTTATTTGTTTTGGCAGTGAGTTTAAGAACTAGTCCTCAGAGACTTGGGTATGAGTCTGTCCCGATGGTGTCTGCAAACTGAAAAGCAGCTTCCAGTTGATGAGTTCATTCTAAGGAATGAACACCACATTATATCCAAGAGTCAGAAATGACACTTTGAGAGAATTAACTGTGTCTGCCTTTGTGGGGCCTTAAACCTTTAGAGTCCTATACTGTGGTGTCCAATCAGTGCAATGAAACTTAGATCACATGTCTCTGTGATTTCTCCTCAGTGCTGGGGAGACAACCTACAGTCTAGAACATGCCAGTGACCTTCGAGTAGAAGTACAGAAAGTATATGAACTAATAGATGCTTTGAGGTAAGTTCCGTTTCGTAATTAATTTTTCAAAATATAGTGTTTACATTATTTCATAAAATTAGTACATGATCATTATGAAAATAGTAATGCCCAATCTTTATTCATCATTAATTGTGCACTAGCAACAACCATTGCTTGGTACTTCCTCAATATTATCTCATTTGATCTACATCATCTTCTCCTTAGATAGGAATTATTACTAACCCCATTTTAGAGGTGAGAAAAGTGATTGACAGCGTTAATAACGAGGCAGAAGTCATGAACTCTAAGAAGTAAAATAGAATTAAAATCCATAAGTATGTAATTCCACACTTCCTACCCTAACTATCAGGCTTTACAGAAAAAGCAGACAAGAAATACATGTAAACAATCATAATACCACCCACCCACAAATTACCGTTGCTAACATTTGTTAGTTTGTCAGCACCACGCTCACCCAGTGAGCAAACCGGCCATCCCTATGTGGGATCCGAACCCATGGCCTTGGTGTTATCAGCACCGCACTCTCCCGAGTGAGCCACAGGCCGGCCCCAGAAGGTGCTGTTTTAACGAAGCGGTAGGTGGCGAGCGGACCTGAACTCACCTGGAGTCCAGGTGACAGTGGAATGTGTGAGGAGCAGTCCAAGTGAGATGCTGGCTCTGGCACTTAAAGCATCTCAGTAACTTTTGGCTAAGGATTTCTAGTATTCCCTATTATTAAAGAAATAGGAGCTGCTTATTGACACCAACTGTGTGCCAGGCACTGGCTGTTTCCTCGTAGAGTAGCTCATTTATTCACCAAAGTTACCCCGTGAGGTGGGGATTAAGATCCCATTTCATAGGTGAGGAAAGGTGCTATAGCTAACAAAAGTGGGGGAGCCAAGATAGAAACCCAGGTTCTTTCTTCAAGTCTGTGCTCTTTCTTCAAGTCCACAGCTGCTTTTTAACTGTGTTGGCTGTTGGGGTTTAATCAGCCCTTTGAGGTGTAGGAAGTACAGTGATTAGAAAGAGAATGTAGAAGTCTTTATCCATCCAGACATGCAAGACCAGATACATAATTTGTGGGGCATGGTGCAAAATGAAAATGCTGTCCTCTGTTCAAAAATTATTAGGAATTTTGAGACAGCAACATGAGAACATTAAACCAAGCATAGGGCCCTTTGAAGTGCAGACGCTCATTCTTGAAGGAGGCCACGCATGTGTGGTCCGTCTGTCTGTGACCAAGCACTTGTCATGCGCTGTGTGCTGTGACAGGGCCTTGGGTACAGCCAAAGGGTAGGAAATGGGCTTTGACTGAGTGGATTCACTTACCAATCTCCACACATCTTCCCAGCATGAAAGCCTGGCAGTGCCCGTTACATTGATGTGTTTGTTCCAATTCAGTAAGAAGATCTTAACCTTAGGCTTGAACCAGGACCCTCCACCACATCCAACAACTTTGCGGCTGCAGAGGATGATCAGATACTCAGCTACGCTTTTTGTGCAGGTAAAGTCATGCTGGGGTGGCATAAACGTTGCACTTGGCCTGACTTGCTCTCTACCTCTGAGAAGGCAGGTTCATGCCAGTGGCTTGTTTATTTTCTGTTTATACATTGATTATTTTTAAGATTATGAATGCATTATGCCACATTTAGAGAATAATGTGGATTTCAGAGAAAAGTAAAACTACTTTTAATCCTATGTTCCTAATACAATCACTGATCATTCTGGTATATATTTTTTCCACTTGCATTTTTCATATACAGTATTTATAATTAGTGCATATTTGGAAATTTGTGTCTTTTTTGTGTATGTCTTCTCTTTCTGTCACTGAATTTTATATCGTGAGCACTTTTTTTTTTTTTTTAAAAAGATGACCGGTAAGGGGATCTTAACCCTTGACTTGGAGTTGTCAGCACCATGCTCACCCATTGAGCAAACCGGCCATCCCTATATGGGATCCGAACCCGTGGCCTTGGTGTTATCAACACCGCACTCTCCCGAGTGAGCCACAGGCAGGCCCATCATGAGCACTTTTTTACAGAGTGTTGAAATAACTACTGTTTGAATGGCAACAGAATACTGCTTGGACTGTATATGCCATCCTTTATTTAGCCATTCCTCTTTAGTTGGGCATTTGATAGATTTTGATTTCTTGCCATTATAAGTGTGGCCACGATGGTCATACTTGTATGTAGAATTCTTCCTTAGGATGAGCTCCTACGGTGTCTTCCTGGGTCGTTGGTTAGGAGGAACTAGCTGATTGTTCAAAGGCAGACTAAACCTAGGTGGTTAGATGTGAGTTGTTTCCTTCTACCTTTGCAAGCCCCTTCTTAGAGAGTTTCAGTTAACTACCTTTGGGGCTCCCTTACAAAGAGATCTAATAGCCAGAATCCTGTTGGGTTTGTTTTCTCACACTGTAGTGCAGAAGATTAGGTCTTTCTTCTTTTAATTAGAGACTCTACTCAGCAGTTGTTTGCTCAGTGCCTATTGTGTACCAGGCAGTGTTCTAGGTGCTGAGAGTCCTCCAGTCAACAGAAGAGACAAACGTTCCTGTTCTCATAAAGCTTATATTCTAGAGAGGAGGACAGACAATAAACAACTAAACATGTAGTATGTACGATGGTCAAAGTGCTGTGGGAAGCAGAGAGGGATGGAGGTTGACAGGTTGATAGGGAGGTAATGAAAAGGCCTCACAGAGAAGCTAGCATTTGAGCCAGGTGAGTAACTGGGGTAACTGATGTTGATCATTTCATAAGGAAAAGGCAGGCCATTTGGAAGTTGACTGTGGCCCCATGTAAGCGTTAGTTCCTTTCTTGCTGCCGCCATTTAATGTCTCTCTCTGAGGACGCAGTGGCTTAGCTTAGGCAGACCATCAATACAGGGCTTAAGGGTCCTTAAAATCGTGTGGACTCCCTACAGGAAAAGTTGCTTGGTTTGATGTCATTGCCAACCAAAGAACAGTTTGAAGAACTGAAAAAGAAAAGGAAGCAGGAAATGGAGAGGAAGCGGACCACAGAGCGACAAGTGAGTGATGGCCAGGGTGCACCTCTCCTGGGCCTCCACGGGCTCCCAGGGTCTGCCAGGTTGTGTGAATAAGAACCTCTCACTCTTTTAAGTTTGCATTTTCTTCTATTCTGTTCCAGCCTCACTCTCATCTATGGAAACCAGAATAGTTGATTTTCTCCCCAGGTTCTATTTTTCTTTCAGAGTTTCTGTTGATTCTCTCATGTCTAGAATACCATAGAGATTGGCAGTTCTCCCTCTGGTATAGGTCACAGAGGACCAAGACACCAGGAAGCTCTTTGTAGAATGCATTGGAATATGCAGTATTAAACAAGATACTATGTGTATTTCACATTGAGGTTCTAGTATTGATGAGGGCAGTAGATCTTGGAGGTTTAAGGAAAGTGTGTGGCCAGTGAATCTAAGAATAAGAAAATCTTATCTCTTAACTTACTGTTATTCATTATTTTATTTATTTATTTATATTTTTTAAAGATGACCGGTAAGGGGATCTCAACCCTTGGCTTGGTGTTGTCAGCACCACGCTCAGCCAGTGAGCAAACCAGCCATCCCTATATGGGATCCGAACCCGTGGCCTTGGTGTTATCAGCACCGCACTCTACCCAGTGAGCCACGGGCCGGCCCCATTATTTTATTTTTGAAAATCAGGGTCTGCGCTCACTCCCACCCCGCAAAAGCATGATTTGATTTTAGTAGTTGGATATCTTAGTCCTGAAGTGGGTATTTGGAGTGTCACTGACATAGGGATAGAGGACCATAGAGGGTGGCTCCCAGTGTGAGTTGATGTTGGCCTGGTGACTAAGTGATGACTCTGGTTTTGGTGTCTCCGTAGGCTGCTCTGGAGTCCCAGCGAAGGCGTGATGAAAGGCAGAGTGGCCTGGCGTCGCGTGCAGCCAACGGGGAGGTGGCGTCTCTCCACAGAGGCGCTGCCTCTTTGAGAAAGGCTGAGGGCTGGCTCCCGCTGTCAGGAGGTCAGGGACAGGGTGAAGACTCGGATCCGCTCCTCCAGCAGATCCACAACATCACCTCGTTTATAAGTCAGGCCCAGGCCGCGGGCCGCATGGATGAAGTACGTGCACTGCAAGAGAACCTGCGGCAGCTGCAGGACGAGTATGACCAGCAACAGACAGAGAAGGCCATTGAGCTGTCCCGGAAGCAGGCCGAGGAGGAGGGGCTGCAGAGGGAACAGCTGCAGATGCTTTGCGAACGGGAGCGGGTGCGAGAAAGGGAGCAGTTCCGGGTGGCATCCTTGCACACACGGACTTGGTCCTTGGACTTCAGAGAAATCAGGCCTTTTCAGGTGGAGACCATCAGAGAGCCTCGTACCCACCTTGCTTCTGCTTTGGATCTAGGCTTTTTACCAGTTCAAAGCAGTACAGCTCCCAAGATCCCTTCACCCAACTCAGCTCGAGAGCCCATCAGAGTATGGTCTGGGCCCCCAGGCCTTGGCCAGGAATTCTCCCCCCAGAGCACCATGTCACAGCAAAATGAGGTGTCCTCCCTCAACCCCTTTGAGGAAGACCTTTCCAGCCCCACAGAAGAGGGCACTACCAGCCCACCTGCTGCAGAGGCTTCCTTTGGCCCTGCAGCCTGCATCCCAAAAGAGTACAATCCTTTTGAGGAAGAAGAGGCGGTGGCGGCAGCAGTGGCGGGGAATCCCTTCACAAACCCAGATAGTCCCACGCCCAACCCCTTCGACGAGGAAGATGAGCATCCCCACCAGAGTCCCACAAGCCCTCCTGTTCCCGGCAACCCCTTCGAGGAACCCACCTGTACCAACCCCTTCGAGATGGACAGTGACAGTGGGCCAGAGGCTGAGGAGCGCATAGAGGAGGAGCTGCTCCTCCAGCAGATCGATAACATCAAGGCGTATATCTTTGATGCCAAGCAGTGCGGCCGCATGGATGAGGTGGAGGTGCTAACGGAGAACCTGCGGGAGCTGAAGCACACCCTTGCCAAGCAGAAGGCGGGCACTGACTGACCAGCCCAGGGGCCTGGCAAGAGTCAGTGGAGCAGGAGAGAGAGCAGGAGGGACTGATGGAGAAGTGGGCAGGGTGAGATGCATTAAGATGCACATAGCTTAGGGGCGGGAATTTGCCATTTTGTGCTGTGCACTTTGAGATATTTCCACTACAGTTGAATAATAAAATGGGAACTAGATCAGGAAGAATCAGCATTCATTTGCTGTTTTCCCTGGGGTGTTTTTTTTTTTTTTTCCCTTGTTTTTTTCTTAACTGGGGGTTTTCCCCTTTTTGAGGGACTTTACATTTTTACTACCAAGATATAACTACATGTAGGTCTGTTGGGCCCAGGGCAGAAATGGCTTCCATAAACCTCTTGGGTCCATTTGCTATTGCCTTGTCTTGGGTCACTTTGCAGTGTTATAGGGCAGCCTTCTATAGGGCCTGTCCTTTAGTCAAGACAGGATGGAGTCCACTGAATCTTATTCTGCTTTAGCAGAAGTCTGTCCCCAGTAGGCTCTGGGTTCCTTTTCACCTGAGGCTTTCTCTGCCCTGCTCAGTGCCTCCTGCCCGCCACCTCCTCAGGGAAGTGTTGCTGTGAAGGGCAGTGTTTAGAACTAGGAGAGCCCAGCACCTTTTTTTTCTTCCCCTTCTTTCTTTTTTTCTTTTCAGGTGATTGTATTGTGGCAACCAGCAGCTCTTTTTTTCTTTTTTGTCTTTTTTACTGACCGGTAACGGGATCGCAACCCTCGGTGTGGCGCCTGTACCGGGGACAGGCAACGGGATCGCAACCCTCGGTGTTGCGCCTGCACCGCGCTCAGCCAGTGAGCGGGAACCGGTCTCCACATGGGATCCGAACCCTCAGCGGGAGCGCCGCCGCACTCCCAAGCAGCACACTCTCCAGTGCGCCACCGGGCCGGCCTGAGCAGCTCTTTTTAAGAGGGGTGATGGGGGAATGTTTTGCCAGAATCTGTTTCCCTCTCAAATTTTTGTCTCTTTCAGGAAGTTGAGCTCCCAGTGCAGGGTTATCAATGTGAATCTGATCATTAGCTTTTTAGAAAACAGGAGTGGTCAACTTTTTGGTTTATATTACTATTATTTGGGAGAAAAGTTTCCCCAGCCTTGCTCTGATGGAACAATTGTCTGTCTCCAGAGACACCTCCCTCTCGAGCTTTGACAAAATTACTCTGATCTGGGCCTCTTTAAAAGGCCCAGTCTGGGGCCAGCCCATGGCTCACTCGGGAGAGTGTGGTGCTGATAACACCAAGGCTATGGGTTCGGATCTTAAAAAAATCAATAAAAGGCTCAGTCTGTTATTTAGAAGTTAGTGATCAGGAAGCTTTTGTGGAACATCAGCAGGAGAAGGGAAGCTTCCCTGAATCGGAAGATAAATAAAAATAATTTCCAAGGCTGTTTGATCAGGCTTCTTCCCTTTTCATTCATCCTGTCCTGACCTGGGGCACTGCTGGGATATTTTTGTACCAGTGTTTAGTATTAGGAAACTGAAATGTTTAGAGGCACAACCCAGATCATTCAGATAGCACTGTAGTACTTGAACTCTTCACCAATTAAGGCAGAAAGGGAAGTTTTAATTTAACTCTGGTGCTTTGGGTTTACAGAAACATAACCCTTAACTCACAACCGACATTGTGATACCCAAGTGTGCTCTGCTCTGGGTAGTTTCTGCAATTACCCATATTAATGAACAATAACTGACCACTAGTCACTTTATACCCCTTAACCAACTCTGAACCATACCTTTATTAGTTACTGGTATGAGAGCTGAAATTCATTTTGTTACGTTCGGGTGAAGACCCCTCTTGATATTAGGAATGTCTGAACTCTCTTGATGTAAAAATAATCTGTATTTCTGTCGATGCTATTCACATTTCTTTAGTACCTGCTGGGTCTTTTGGCAGAATAAGAAGGTCCTGCATAGGGGATGTGGGAATGGGGAATGGGTGGAGGGTATGCACTCAGGTTCTGTTAACAAAGGAATATGAGCGGGTTCCTAATGTCAGCCAGTTACTAGCCCTGCAGGTTGTCATGGTTTGTTTGGGAAGTTGACAACCAGGCACCTAAGACGTTGCCCGGTACAGCCTCTTTTCTTTTCCTGAGTACCACGCCCTTCATGATGTTATTCTGGAGATCTCATGGATGGCCCGCATGCTCCTCACTGCTCAGTCTCATTTCTCTGACTGTAGAGAGAGGAGGCTTTCTGCACTGAAAAGAAGGTAGTTCCAGGAGCTAAGTGCTTCTTTTCATCTTAATTACTTTTCTTATGAGAATGTCTCTCTTTTAATTAGCTGGTGATTTCAATTAAGACTAATTCACTAAATGTGCCCTTTCCCTGAAATCAACCCCAGGTAGCAATCTGCAAGTAACCAAGAGCTTCAAGAAATACACATTTTTAAAAACTATTTTAAAAAACTCAACTTTCTGAATATATGCTAAGCCAAGCTAAAATCATATCCCTCTGATTTCATTGAATTCTTCCATAGATGAATTCTTTCATGAATTCTATTTAGTTCTTCCATGGCTATATTCTCCTGTAATCGTAGACATGATAGGAGTTAGAATTCTCTGCCCCTCAGGTGTACCACTTCCCAGAACCCATGTAGACATAAGGTTGGATTCACAGAGATGGGTTGACAGCAAGAGTTGCCTGATGAATTGTGACCACAACTTCAAGTTCTTACCTCATGTAAATATTTCACCCTTCCTGTAGTCCTTCAAGGCACACAGCTCCATCTCATCAGAAACGAACAAGGTCTTGAGATGGCGTCGGCAGATCTCCCTAGACATAGATCATGATTGTACATGGAAGAGACTTTGGGATTCAGGCATCAAATGAAGTTGGCTTTTTCTTTTTGCCTTGTGTCTTCTCCTGTCTACTACGCTAAGGACACTTACTCACTGTACTTGCAGCTCAAGTGTGTTTTTGTTGTTCAGATACTAAAATGTACCTGAGTCGTCATGACCCATGTGGGAGGCTGGACATTGACAAAGTTAGGTGAAGGGACTCAACATGAGAAGCTGGTCTCTTTACCACATCACAGACTGAAGTAGCAGATTGTGCTGGTCATGTGACAATGACTGCCAGTTTGAGGGTTGTTAATTTGCATGCATTACTCTGGGGCCCTGTATTGGAACCTTTTTTTAAAAAAATAAAATAACAGTGGTTAAGTGTGTGTATCTGTATGTGCATGTGTGTTATAAGTGAGAATCACCAGATAACATCCCTCCCCCTTTCTTGATAATGACCATCTGAGTATCAGAAGATAAGTCCCAGCTCCTCTGTTACCTGCCTGGTTAAGGCCTCTGGACAAAATCCAGGTCACTGGGCCCTGATTAGGGATAAATATGGGTTTCAGTTCTGTCTTTATCCTGAGTTATTCCTGCAGTGTTGATTAAATGAACCATTTTATACAAGCATAGTTCCAAACCCTTTACACTTCTGTCATCCCCATGTCACTCCTTCTAGAGACAGGCTTGGACAGGCTGAGGAACCTTATAAGTGCCACTTGTGCACATTTGCACACTCCCCTCATTTAGCCTCACCAGAAGGCAATGCGAGGTAATTACTCGGGTGTCCATCTGACAGGAAAAGAGGCCTGTTAAGAGAGGTGAACCTGCTTTGGTTCACAGCCAGTCACTAATGGAACAAGGACTGGAACTCAGGTCTGCCTGACTCACTTTGCCTTCCGCAGCAAGGAGGTTGGAGCTGGGTCAGGTATGGGGTGGAGTGGAAGTGCTCAAGCATCTGTCAGGCTCAAAGGTGGTAGAAATGGGCAATGAGGAAGGGTTGGGTGCTGCTGAGTGGTTTCTCATAAAGACTTCATCCTGGCCTTTGAAACTCAGACCTCCCTAGGAACTATGTAGATTCCTAAGCCAGGAGAGGATAACATTTAGTGCTCACTGTGGGCCAGACTGAATGCTAAGTATGTGCATGGGTTACCTCATTTACTCTTCCCAGCAACACCAATTACAGATGAAGAAATGAGTGGGGAGGTTAAACTTGCTCAGGGTTGCACTGCTGGGATTCTAGCCCAGGTCTGTCTCACTGCAAAACCCAAGCTGCCCTAGCCTGCTTTGCATGTGGACACCCATGCTTCTAACGTGGAATGGGTGTTTCATCCATAGTAAGCACTTCCTGTGGACTTTAATATCAAAAACTCTTCAGCCTAAAACTTCAGCATCCTAGCAGTCTTAAAAACACTTCAGAAAGTGCTTCTGGTTTCAGCTCAGACATGTAAAGACTTCAGAAGTTATCACTGTCCTAACAATAAGGAAAAGCTGGATGAACTGAAAATCAGTAACTTTTCTTGGAGACATCAGAGAACTGAGTTTGCAGGGCAAACTGCCATCCCAAAATCTGGACAGAGGTGAATGCAGAGAGTCGCAGCTGAGATCTGATGGCCTGGAGGAGACGCCACTGGAGCCACAGCTAGTAGGGACACTTAAATGGTAATTTGGAAGAATCACTGGAGGCTGAGTGTGGACTAGACCAAGGGTGAGAAACTCCTGTGCGTCATTGCCTAAGGAAGACCCCACACTTTCATGGGTTTGTCTCCAGGAACCCACTTGGTTCTCCTGGTGAGGAACTGAGGAAGATTCTCTGGTGGCTCTGGCAGGGGAAGGAGAGAGTGATCTTTGTAATTAGAACATTCTCCATAACACAAACACAGGCCTATTTCCCAGAGGAAAAGACTTTGGCAGAGCCTTATCTCCTCTGAGGGAGGACATTTCTCCCACTCCAGCCCCCTCTAGCCTTCTAGCCTCAGGGAAGGGACTAGCAGGGGGAGTTAAGAAACACTTGTGAAGATCACAGCCCAAGGACACAAGTCCACTAAATTCTGAGATTTAATCATAAGAGGACAAACATCAAAGTCAAGGGTTCAGATCCCTATACCCACCAGCCACCAGAAAACAACAACAATAATCATAAGATTATAGAATGTTCCCCCTCTCCCACACCTTTCCACTACACCAATGGGGCTCCAGGATAGTAACAATGGATTAGAGCTGAGAACTGCAAGACACAGACTCCCTGAGGAGGAATATCCAGGGAAGCCCGCAGCCAAGAGGGGAGACAAAACAAAGACACTGCAGGAATTTGAAGGCTCTGACACCTGCAGCTGCAGCAAACATTAAACACAGCTCAGCTCCTAGTCAGAGTAACATAAATCCTCACACCAAAGGCTTATTTACGTCAGTTCCTATTATCCAAAACAGCTGATACAATCTGGCCTTCAACAAAAAATCACAAGGCATGCCAAAAATGGAGGAAAAAACCCAGTCTGACAAGATAGAGCAGACATCAGAACCACACTCAGAATTATCAGACAGGAAACTTAAAATATGATTAATAAGTAGTCTCATGGTAAAAGTAAACATTCAAGAACAGATAGGTAATGTATACCTATCAGAGATAAGGAAACTGTAAGAAAGAAAAGGAAAAGCTAGAAGTAAACAAAACAAAACACTAACAAATGAAGAATGAAGAACGCCTCAATGGGCTCATCAGTAGGCTGGACACAGCCAAAGAAAGACCAGTTGCTTTGTAGATAGGTCAAGAGACGTGTCCCTACTGAAATGTAAGGGGAAAAAGAGAATGAAAAACAGAACCTCCAAGAACTATGGGGCAACTTCAAAATATGTAAAATACATGTAACTGGAATACTAGAAGTAAAAAGGACGAGGAAGAAATATTTGAAGTAATATTGGCCAAGAACTTCCCAAAATTAATGACAGGCACCGAAGTATAGATCCAGGACGCTATGAGAACACCAAGAACACAAATACCCAAATCCACACCTCCGCATCTTATTCTAACCCCCCAAACCAAAAATAAAGAGAAAAGTCTGGAAAGATAATTTCAGCGAAGGCTGGCGGCTTCCCAGGGGGTTGGAGCCAGGCCCTCACCCCCCCGGAGCCCGTGCGGCGCCGCATACACGCGTCCTTATACCCAGGGTTTGCTTCTGAGAAAGTTCGGTCCAGCGCTGCTGAGTGGCTGACTAGAAAAGCGTAGACCCCAAACCTTTTTTTTCCTTTTGCGCATCAGTTTAAGTCGATGCTAGAAACTGCATAGTTCGAACTCTTCATTTTGAAGCCGGAGATGTTTGAGCTTGAACAGCAAGTTATCAGCTGACTCGGCACCCGAAGTCGGCTCTTTGATGTTTTCTGACTGAGTTGGAGCCGATTAAAAACGTCTTCTCGTGGGCGTCCGGGGAGAGACTCTCGCCGAGCGCGTGGGAGCCCGGATCCTCCCGCGCCGTATGTGGTGACTCGACGGCGGCGAGCGGGACTGCAAGTCCCAGGCTGCCCCGCGGCGTGCGCTGCCCGCCGGGAGCGGCTGCTGGCTGCTGGCTGCTGTCTCCTCCTTGCTTTAACTCGGCCCGCGCGGCCGGCCCCGCCACCGCCGCCATGCCCATGAAGGGCCGCTTCCCCATCCGCCGCACCCTGCAGTACCTGGGCAAGGGAGACGTGGTGTTCAAGGACTCGGTGAAGGTCATGACGGTGAACTACAACACGCACGGGGAGCTGGGCGAGGGCGCCAGGTCAGTGGGAGCCCGCGAGGCCGTCCCGCCGGCCTGGCCGGCCGCGAAGGGCTATTGGCGCCAGCGTGCTAGCCGCGTGAGACCACGACCTGTCCCCGGCCCGGACCCCATTTTACAGACGAGGACAGCAGGGACCCGCCGGGTCGGCGGCGGTGGTGGTGACGGGGGGTGCGGAGGCCAAGGGCTCCCTTCTCTATCTTTTTCCTCCCGGCTGGTGGACAAGGCCAACCCGAGGGACTCCCGGCTGGTGGACAAGGCCAACCCGAGGGAGGCCACCAGAGGCCGGCAGGCGGGCGGGGGCCGGGGGGCAGTCGCAGATCCTCCCGGGGGCCTGGGGCGAGCCCCGTCCAGGGGGACAGGCCTGGATCGGGTCCGCCTTTTCCACCTGTTGGCTTTGGGCGAGTTGCCCCTCCTTAGTGTCCCAAACGGGGATGATACCCCTGTCCCAGGGACGATATGGGGATGAAATGAGAGGAGTACTAGCTGCTGTTTTTTTTTTTTTTCTTAAAAGATGACCGGTAAGGGGATCTTAACCCTTGATTTGGTGTTGTCAGCACCACGCTCTCCCAAGTGAGCTAACCGGCCATCCCTATATGGGATCCGAACCCGGGGCCTTGGTGTTATCAGCACCACACTCTCCTGAGTGAGCCACTGGCCGGCCCCTAGCTGCTGATGTTGACCGAGCCCTGTTCTATGTCTGGCGCTGTTCTGAATTCTTCTCAGGCATTATCTGATCAGCAGCAGACTCCTCCCCCACTAGAGGGGAAACTCTATGAGGTGGTCTTTCACCCTGGAGCAGAGGAGGGCTTCATTGAAGGGCAGTTGGCAAGTGAAAGGCTTGAACTGACCCTTGAGGCAACCATAGGCAGTACCTTAGGCTGCTCAGGCAGTAAGAATAAATTTATTGAGTACCCACTGAGTGCTGTGCTTGCTGCTGTGTGCTGGGAATTCAACAGTGATTGAAAAAACAGTTCTAGCCTTCAGAAACTTCGGGATTGGGTGAGTGGGATGGATTAAAATGAGAAAGGAAGAGCAGTTCCTGGGGACCACCCGCGGGTGAGGGGCCTGGAACTGCAGGCTGTTCAGGAGAGCCAGAAGTTCCCTGCTAGTCAGTCCCTGTGGGCAGTGAACCCAGGAATTTGGACCTACTTGCGTGGGATCAGCTGGGGTGAGGGCTTCCTGCAAGACTTGGTCGTGGGGTGAATGGGCACCCAGGTGCTCCTTCGTGACCCCCTGCACGACAGTGCACATCTCTGTCACAGGGCCGAGGCCAGGTGGGTGATGGAGAGGAGGGAGGCAGGCTGGATGAGACCTGCCCAAAGGGGCTCTTCCCTGCTTGGCAGCGTGGGCTGGGTGGAGAATTCCTGATTTATCTAAATTCAGATTTTTATGTAAATCTCCAGTTTTTATTTATTTATTTTATGTATTTTTATTTTTGTCTTGTTTTGTGACCGGTAAGGGGATCGCAATCCTTAGCTTGGTGTCGCCCGCATCGCGCTCAGCCAGTGAGCACACTGGCCATCCCTATATAGGATCCAAACCCGCAGCGGGAGCGCCGCGCTCCCAGCGCCGCACTCTCCCGAGTTCGCCACGGTCGGCCCAGTTTTTAAATGATTATCCAGTCAACATAGGTCTGCAGACCTCCTACTCACATTCTCAAGTTTTAATACCCTCCAGGTGAATAGGATCCAAACAGCCCTTCTGTGTTTTACTGTTCCTGGGGATAAGAGCTCGCCTGTCCTGCCTGTGTCCTTGGGTTTCAGCCTGTCTGACTTGCTCTGTGTAGCCCCATGAGTCCTTGCTTGTTCTTGTGCCCTCAGCATTTCAGCTGCCCTGATCGGGACCTTCCTTCTTCTAAGTGCCAGTGACCAGTATGCATTCTCAGCCTAGCCAGTCTTGGGATCTCTGCTGGATGGGTGGAGAGCTGCCTTACTGAGCATCTGAGGGCTAAGTCTCTACTCATCTCTGCCAGGAGTTCTTGCCCTTAAGAAGTGGCTCTGAGCCTAAGGATCTAGGTAAATTTGGTAATAAGATAGTGACAGAACAGGGTGCTGTAAGTCCAGACTAGTCACAGCCCTGGTTCTTTGACTTACTGTTTGTATGACCTGGGGCAGTTAATGTCTGACCTCAGTTTCCGTAGTTGTAAAATCCCAATTCCAGGGTCACCATGAGGATTCAAGGCTAAAATGTCTAGCATAGTGTCTGGCATGCGCAGCAGGTGCGCAGCTAGAAATTCCCTCTCTCATTCATTCACTTCGCTCCTGTGCTTCAGCAAGAACAATTTTAAGGCCCTGTTACATTTCTGTCCTAGCAGTATTAGGGGTGGGGGGAAATTTCTACCTGACTGTGTCCTGGTTTATTTGTATGAAGTTTTGAGATGTTGGATACACTGCTAGGGGTTGGGGAGTGTTGGGGGGTGAGTAGGAATTGACCAGAGGCCTCCTATACCCAGGAAAGTAAATTCAGCCTTTGAGCTTCCAGCCCTGTGTGGTGTTGGGGTCTACATGACCTTCATTTCCTCCCCTAGGGACAACAACTTTCAACTCTATTTAATTCAAGTTTTACCTCCTTTTAGTTGCATAACATAGAGAGCTACTGGGCCAGCCTGTGGCTCACTCGGGAGTGTGCGGTGCTGATAACACCAAGGCCCCGGGTTTGGATCCCATATAGGGATGGCCGGTTCGCTCACTGGCTGAGCGTGGTGCTAACAACACCAAGCCAAGGGTTAGGATCTCCTTACCGGTCATCTTTAAAAAAAAAAAGGGGCCGGCCGGGGGGCCCGGGGAAAGGGGCGCCGCTTGGGAAGTGCAGCGGCGCTACCGCCCGAGGGTTCGGAACCCACAACCCGACCGGTCCCCGCC